AGGCAATAGTTGTACTAATCTTGAAGAAAGGAGACCGTGCTGATCCAAATAATTATAGAGGTATAAGCTTATTGCCAGTATGATGAAAGTAATTGTCAACAGATTAAGGCCAGTTTTAGAGGAAGTGTGCAACTTCTGACCAGGCCAAAGTCGCATTTATCGGATATTCACATTCTGACAGTTGATGGGGAAAAAAAGCAAGAATGGGAATTAAAGATGTTTACTGTTTTCATGGACTTTACAAGGCATTTGATTCGGTTTGGAGGGAAGCATTATGGAAAGAAGCAAAATCATATGGCTTTCCAGATAAGATAATTGCAATTACAAAAGTTATGTACGAAGATTCCTGCAACTGCCATAAAAAATGGTGGAAAATAAAGCAACTGTTTCAAGTCAAAGTTTTGTGAAAGACAAGGGGAAATGGAATCGCCATCACTTTTCATCATGTTCTGAAACTGGACCTTAAGAATGTTAGACAAGTTGAAAGGTGTGACATTGGATGATCTAGAATTAGGCTCCTTGGTTTATGCAGATAACATTGTACAGCTATGACGCACATTTGAATTAATTATGATAGTATTTACGAGCTTGGGAAATTGGTGTTTTCTATTTGGATTTCAATAAATGCCAAAAAGACGAAGTGGTTGCAGCTTGGAAAAGAGACAATAGGTAAAGTATTGAAATGCAGCAGCAGTGAAGTTGAGGGGGCGGGATAGCTCAGTGGTTTGAGCATTGGCCTGTTAAACTTAGGGTTATGAGTTCAATCCTTGAGGGGGCCATTTAGGGATCTGGGGCAAAAATCTGTCTGGGGATTGGTCCTACTTTGAGCAGTAGGTTGGACTAGATGATCTCCTGAGGGTCCCTTCCAACCCTGATATTCTAAGTTGTAAAACAAGCTGCCTCTTACATGTACCTAGGAAGTTTGATCAGTGCCAACAGTTCCTTCAAGAAAAAGGTTAAAAGAAGATACACCTTAGCCACCAGTGCTGCACAGAAACCAATGAAATTAGAGACTGATAAAAACATTACATTTGGCACCAAAATAAAAATTTATCAAAACAGTGTACTAACAGTATTGCTATATGGTCTGGAAACAGTTGCATTACATGAAATAGACATCAGAATGCTGGAGTCAGTAGAGATGAGAGTTCTTCAAAAAATGGCAGGCATAAGGTGGAATGATTTTAAGACAAATGAAGAAGTTAGAAGGAGAGTGGGATGTGAAATCAGGATATAGGATTGGCTACAACAAAAAAGATTAAGATGATGAATACACTGCAGACAAACAGATGATAGGATGCCAAAGAAAATAATGCAAACACAGTTAAGGTCAATCAGACCTAGCGACTGACCACTGATTAGATGGTGGGACACCGTATGCAGGGACATGACCAGGCTGGGTTTAAGGGAAGAAGAAGCTATGGACAGGAATGAAAGGTGATGCTGTTCTGCTCCAGGTTTCTGCAAAGATGTTTTGGGATGAAGAGAGAGAGATGTCTTCATTTCCCCTTCTCTACAGCATTGGCCTGTACAAACAATCTTCAACCACAACTGGAATTGGCTCATCAGCTACACATCTGCACACACACTTCTACCATCCTCTGTTTCCCAGATATTTATTTTTGTGCCCTCTATTACATTTGTAGCAGCACAGTTTTGTTTAATCTTCCATAAAGTACTGGTATAACAATGAATTATTTTTACCATGAAACCTTTTTAAAAAAAATCATAGTTTACATTTTCAGCTTGTCTCAGAATGCAAATATTTCAGCCTTCCCTGTAAACATGAAAAACTGCTCATAAATCATTTGAACAATATTTTCTTTTATGGCAAGTTTCTTACATTCGACCAAATGTTTCTGCCATTTGGTTTCCAAGCATCTAATGTTGTACATGGAATGAGAGTCTGGCTACAGGATATGGACAGGAGTGGCTGCAGAAACTGACTTTAAGGGCTAGTCATGCAAAGGGTCTGCATTTATATGATTTCTTGGTGTAAAATTTCACATGGCTGCTAGCTGTTTCTCTCTAGAGAGTTCATAGTATCTCTGTATAGTGTACACACAGGCTAAAATGCAGATCTACACGATTATGTCTCTGTAATTTCTCAGTATAAAATTTCTTATACTTAACCATTGGGAGTTGAATGTTCTTGGTCCCTTGCAGGATTGGATGTTTCATATGCATGGACTATAAAGAGAAATAAAAAGCAATCTGGATTTGCAATAGTTTTCAACCTATGGCTTGTAAAATTTTATACTGAGAAATTACAGACACAAGCCCTGTGAGTGGGCCCAAACTAATAGAAACTGATTGCAAAAATTGAGAATGTGACAATAGAAACACATTGAAATGAGGCATGCTCTTAATCAGAAGAGAGCAAAACATGGGAGAGATATTCCAGTGTGTATATTACAAAACTTTCAGGGCTAGTGATGCAGATGAATAATAAGAGAGAGAATAAAGGGGGATGAACTGTCAGGAATTGTTTGATCTCTTGTCAAAAGTATTTGTGGCAGAGCAGACATAAGACTACTGTTCCCGTTCATTGCCTGCCTGATCACATCCCTCACTTCTTTTCAATAGCTGAATTCAAGTCCCAAGAAAAATGTTATTTTTATCTGAAGTTGTACATGAAACACAGATTTCTTTTTAGCTTTCTCTCATTGCTGTAGGCACACATCAAAGTATTCATTTTAAATGGACGATAAAGGCAGCATTTGTTTAACATCAGAAGATGGGCCCAGACAAAATCTCCACGTCTAACCCCCGCTCAGATATTGGGGTTGTCCAAACTTACTTGAGCCCAACTCTATTTACAGTAAGATGTTAAAAAAAAATCTATGCAATTTAAACCAGCTCACAATACAATACCATGATTTATAATTAATATCCCTAAAAATAGAAAGAAAATGCTGACTATAAAAACCAAAATGTCAGCAATAATCCAGATGCACTTTCAGAATATTTGAATACAGCATTTAAAAGGTTTTAAGAGCCTTAAAGTACTCAAGAATATTTTATGTGGAAAGTCCTCTAACTTCTTAGTAATGTTGCCTGAGGCTACCTAAACAAATAGAACAAGCTTTTCTCTTCCCGTGGCTTCTCTTCCCATGGTGAGTTTATTGCAGCTCTGTAATGCAATGATGCAACATGAACTCTTTGATATATTTTAAAAGACAGACATGAAACTGGAGGAAAAAAATAATGGATATGAGATATGTGGCTTTGGAATTTAGCAAATAATAGAAGAAACCTTAATATAAGAGAAAAATCTTACAGTATTTGTGCTGCCAGACTTTAGTAGCATGTTAGCATTTTAAAATTTTCTATTTCCGTACTGCATTCTTTCCAAATATACAATAGTTTAATTGGATTCAATTCCTGACTCTGTTAAACAATCTGACTGAGCACATATTAGGACTGTTCGTGAGAGGCGCTGAGTGACCTCAGCTTCAGTTTACTCAAATCAGAGTTAAGAGCACTCAGCACCCCACAGAATTGGACTCTTAATCTCTCTGTACCTCAGTTTCCCTATCTGTAAAATGAGATTAATAATACTTCTCTCCCTCACAGCAGCGTCACTAATATTTGTAAAACATTATGAGATCTTCAAATGGAAGATGCTGTATTCATTAGGCCTGATTTGGCCTGTTGTACTTTACCAATAAATATTTAGTATGGCTAGACTAGGAATATCAGGATAAAATACTGAATAGAGAACATTTAGGTGAGATATTAAGCTAAATAATTTCCCAAAGTGAAATCTAGTAGATTGTAGAATCAGGTGGGAAGACATAGAAGTTCCACCGTTAAAACCAGTCTGGAACACCACTGGAAGACAGAATGTAGGAAACAATCCTGCATTGAAAGGAGAGTGGTCTAATCTATGTAATGGGTAATGTCCATCAGATTCTTATGACCACCACCCTGCCATCAAGAAATTTTAACAAATTGTTCCTGGTTATACAACAACTAACCATAATTAAAGTTTTGGCTCCTTTGGGCCCTCTGCTGGCTCTTCAACAGCAGTTACCCAGTAACTGTTGTGTGATGGGTTTCAGAGTAGAAGCCGTGTTAGTCTGTATCCGCAAAAAGAACAGGAGTACTTGTGGCACCTTAGAGACCGGCAAATTTATTTGAGCATAAGCTTTCATGGGCTACAGCCCACTTCATCAGATGCATAGAATGGAACATATAGTAAGAAGATATATATACATACAGAGAACATGAAAAGGTGGAAGTTGCCATACTAACTCTAAGAGGCTAATTAATTACGATGAGCTATTATCAGCAGGAGGAAAAAAAACTTTTGTAGTGATAATCAAGATGGCCCATTCCAGACAGTTGACAAGAAGGTGTGAGGATACTTAACATGGGGAAATTTGTGTAATGACCCAGCCACTCCCAGTCTCTATTCAAGCCCAAGTTAATGGTATCAAGTTTGCAAAGTAATTCTAGTTCAGCAGTACACTTGGCATGTAGGCAAAACTCAGCGTGAAAGAAGCCCTTATTACGGATGTACTTTAAAAATGCTGCGTATTAAAACAAGCTGTTAGGCACTGTGGCCTGTATCTTCAAAAATGGTCCTTACTTGTCTCTGTTCCACTGTTGATTTGCTAGGGTATCTAGATCATTGGCCATAAATAACTGGGGTGACCAGCATGCCTGGCACACTGTGGTACTGAGCCTCCCAACTCAGGCCCAAGTCAATGGGAGCTGTGGGTGTGCTACATGATCCCTGGGAATCAGTGTCCCCTCTGGGGGGCCACCAGAATTTGAAGACAGCCAGAATTAGAGGCTACTAGTAAGTAGGTTGTTCCTCATTAATCTACTTGACCTGTCGCCCCCGCCCGCGCACACAGCTGGGAGGTGCAGGTTGCCCCCTGGAAACACATCCACCAGCTGGCAGAGCCGCGGCACTACAATTCCCAGCCATCATTGCGCACCCTCCCTTTCCCCCCTTCTGCTTTCATCTCCTGCCTCCCGCTAAGCTCTGGGTGTCTGAGCTGCGCTGCCGCTGCCCAGGCGAAGCGGGAGTCCCCAGGCGAACGCTGTGCTGTAGCTGCTAGAGCGTCTGGGCTTCAGCGGGGTGAGCAAGGCGGGCTAGGTCCTGCAAGCAACCCCCCAGCTCGCAGCAGCAGGAGTGGGAGCTCCCTTAACCCTTTCACGCCTCCCCTTGGCTGGAGAGAAGCGGCGAATGAAGTGAGGATGGTTATCCGGGTGTTCATCGCATCCTCCTCTGGCTCGGTGGCGGTGAGTGATGGGGGCGTGGTGGGAGGCGCACCTGGAGGTGCAGAGGGGCAGGCGATAGCTGAGGTCAGCTGGCTGCTTGGGATCCCGAGCCACCCACGCTGCTATCGCTAAAGCTGGCTGGGGGTTGACTTTTCCCGGCTACAAACATTCAGCGCAGGAGAGAAACACACAACTCTGCCGCTCATCAAGTGTTTGGAAATTCCAAGGAACCACTTGGATTTGGGTGCTGCTAATTGCTTAGGGGACCTACATTTCAGATAATAGTTCATGGTGAACAGGGGTGCCTTTGTTGATGAGACAACAAGGAGTCTGGTGGCACCTTAAAGACTAACAGATTTATTTGGGCATAAGCTTTCGTGGGTAAAAATCTCACTTCTTCAGATGCATAGAGTGAAAGTTACAGATGCAGGCATTATATACTGACACATGGAGAGCAGGGAGTTACTTCGCAAGTGGAGAACCAGTGTTGACAGGGCCAATTCAATCAGGGTGGATGTAGTCCACTCCCAATAATAGATGAGGAGGTGTCAATTCCAGGAGAGGAAAAGCTGCTTCTGTAATGAGCCAGCCACTCCCAGTCCCTATTCAAGCCCAGATTAATGGTGTTAAATTTGCAAATGAATTTTAGTTCTGCTGTTTCTCTTTGAAGTCTGTTTCTGAAGTTTTTTTGTTCAATGATAGTGACTTTTAAATCTGTAATAGAATGACCAGGGAGATGGAAGTGTTCACTTACTGGCTTATGTATGTTACCATTCCTGATGTCCGATTTGTGTCCATTTATTCTTTTGCGGCGGGACTGTCCGGTTTGGCCAATGTACATGGCAGAGGGGCATTGCCGGCACATGATGGCATATATAACATTAGTGGATGTGCAGGTGAATGAGCCCTTAATGGTGTGGCTGATGTGGTTGGGTCCTCTGATGGTGTCGCCAGAGTAGATATGGGGACAGAGTAGGCAACGAGGTTTGCTACAGGGATTGGTTCCTGGGTTGGTGTTTCTGTGGTGTGGTGTGTAGTTGCTGGTGAGTATTTGCTTCAGGTTGGGGGGTTGTCTGTAAGCGAGGACTGGCCGGCCTCCCAAAGTCTGTGAGAGTGAGGGATCATTTTCCAGGTTTGTTGATGAGATTTGGTGGGGTGGAGTAAAAAAAGAGGTCTCAAATTTGAGCTATAAATTCCTTGTTTATTTGCGAAACTACAGTATCTGAGGAACTGCCTCATACAAGAATTATTGTTCTTTTTAACCTCTGAGGATAGGACAAGAAGCAATGGTCTTTAATTGCAGTAAGGGTGGTTTAGGTTGGTCATTAGGGAAAAACTTCCTGTCAGGGTGTTTAAGCACTGAAATAAATTGGAGTCGAAGACCTCTCGAGGTCCCTTCCAGTCCTACCATTCTATGATTCCCATAATTTAGTTTAAAAGCAAGCAGAGCAGGATACCTGCTTGGTGTTTTTTTTTTTTTTTAAAAACAAAGTGCATTTCCTAGTTTTATTATAAGAGTATTGCTGTGATCGATTGTTTCCTCTTTCCTAGCACAAGTTCTTATCATGGAACAGCCCTGCCTGTTGTTATTCCACCATTTCCATGCTAAACTTGATTTAGACTAGAATGCATTAGCATTAACTGTAGCATTGCTTCCAACATTATTATACTTGGTTGTAGTCAGTCTTCATCTAGCACTGGCATACAAAAACTTTACTGTGAGAGAAAATTTATTTATGCTGTCCCACTTGTTTTTTGTTTTTTAAAATCAGCCTGCCTGCTTTAAAATAAAAGGTATCTAAAATGTGCAGGGGGGTCTGGGGCCGTGTGTGTGCTTGGAAAAAAATAAAATGACTAAAGAAAGTATAACAAAATTGGTGAGCTGACACTTAAAAAACATTATCTTAACTCTTCCTTAAGTTACTGATGAGATTTCTTGAGTAAAGTAGCCTAGTTTTACCACGGTTAGTCACGTCCCATGGATAGAGAAGGGGAGTCTTGAAACAGCATTGCTTTAGTCTGAAATATGTATTTTTCCTCAGGGCACTGTAACAAACAAAATAAATTCTACTGATAATTACAAATTACTGGAGTCTTTTAAAAAAAACCCACAGACCAACCTCAGGATAAAGGCATATCTGCAAGTTAACAAGTATTTTGAAGTGGGCACAACTCTTTCCTTGAATTAAATTTTGAAGGGGATCAATCATTATGTCCTTTGATAGTAGCTGAAGTCCTTAGTTTTCTCTTGGTTAATTAATTATGCATGTGACCTATAAATATCCATATTCCTATTTAAAGTGACAGCTTATATTTCCATAAAGACAATCTGAATGTAAATGCTCATCTGAATGTGTTCTTTAATGAGAAACATCAGAGGGCTTCAGATATAATTGGTATACTTTATGCTTGAGCAGTGCTATTACTGGCATTCTTATTTTTTGTTTGTTTGTAGAGAGACAGTGGACTTTGTTCCCGACTGAAGGTTTGTGTATTCTCTTCCTTTGGTCTTTTATTGTGCACTGTTTGTGTTCAGGTCAGTGGCATGGTGACAGGTTTGTCGTCTGATACAGTTTGGCATGAAGTGCTTGGAATGCTTAGTAGTTGCATACTTACAGCTAATAAAAACTAATTATCCATTTCAGTAGCATATTTAGAAAATACAGAATCTCTTGAGAACTTTAACAGAACATGTTCACTGAGCATTCATCATAGAAACACTCCCTCCCATTAACTGGCAGTCAGTTCATATTGTAGTTTCTCATATTTATTTCAAACAATAATGACCTATTTGAGCTTTTGGGGGGGCTAGAGGAGGAGAAGCTTGATCCAGTAATCACCAGCTAGAATAGTTAAGAATAAGAATATGGCTAAAGGTCCATCTAGTTCAGTATCCTGTCTTCTGGCATTGGCCACTGTTAGGTGCTTCAGAGGCAATGAACAGAACAGATAATCATCAAGTGATCCATCCCCTGTCACCTATTCCCAGTTTCAGGCAAACAGGGTAGGGATGGATGGGCTAATCTAGCTACCGGTAGTTATTACCTGACTGACAAACAAGTTAATTTTTACACCAAGATCAGCAGCAGTTAGAGATTCCCTACCATTACCCTGCCATCCCAGTTCTGTAGTTGAAGTGTAGTTTAATTTTCATGTCAATTCATCCACTGGCTTTTCTGCTTTGGCTGCCAGCAGTAGGGCCAATTGTGATGGTGACTTAGATCAGTGGTCTCGGCAGGAGGAGCTTTTTTTTTTTTTTTGCTTTGGCAAAAATGGTAGAGTCGGCGCGGCAGGGGTGCTTGCTCAAAATTTTTTTACTGATAGGGTTGCGCGGTCAAAAAAGTTTGGAGACCACTGACTTAGATGACATGGACCATTAGTACTGGACTGAGACCACCAACTCACTTCATATAGGCTATTGTACAGCCATCTGAGAGGAAAGACTTTCATTTGTTACTATCCTTGGCCAGAATAGAATAGGTGACATAGAGGGGAAAGGCAGTACAACCCATTACCAATTCCCTGCATTAGTAATACTGTACTCTAAAACAGTGAAGTTTTAAAACTTATTTCTTGATGTTTGAGAAGACCACTGTAGAATCAGGTATCGGAGAAGGGAAAGACCAGCTAGGGCAGGGGTCGGCAAACTCTGGCACGCGGCTCGCCAGGGTAAGCACCCTGGTGGGCCAGGCCAGTTTGTTTACCTGCTGCGTCGGCAGGTTCGGCCGATCGCAGCTCCCACTGGCCACGGTTCGCCGCTCCAGGCCAATGGGGGCTGCGGGAAGCCGGGGCCAGCACATCCCTTGCCAGCACAGCGCCGCTTCCCGCAGCCCCCATTGGCCTGGAGCCCAGAACCTGCCGACGCGGCAGCTAAACAAACTGGCCCGGCCTGCCAGGGTGCTTACCCTGGTGAGCCACGTGCCAGAGGTTGCCGACCCCTGAGCTAGGTCATGTCCATCATCTTCCAAGTGCATGGAAAGCTTAGCCTGCATCTTCTCCTGTGCAATTCAGGACACAGCATTATCTCCCTGTTTGCCAGGGGCATTAGAAAATAATGAAACAACACATCTCCAGAACCCCATACCAACAGGTCTGGAAGGAACTGACGGTTTGATTTCCACTCCTTATGACAGCTTGGGTGAAGCTGTAGGATATCCATACGTGTAGGACTGTTCTCTCAAGTGCATTTGCTAGTGCTTTGTCCAATCAAGTTTTAAATGTCTTAGGCAATGCTTCTTCCACCATTCTGCCTAGGAAATTATTACTGCCCTTCTGTTCTGCTGTGGATGTACACCTCTACCCTGATATAACGTGACCCGATATAACACGTATTTGGATATAACGCGGTAAAGCAGCGCTCCGGGGGGCGGGGCTGCGCACTCCGGTGGATCAAAGCAAGTTCGATATAACGCGGTTTCACCTATAACGTGGTAAGATTTTTTTTTTAAGCTCCCGAGGACAGCGTTATATCTGGGTAGAGGTGTACTACCTTCTCTTTCTGTTCCATTGTTTGTAGATAAACTAGTTCTATTTAATATTAAATCATGCTAGTATGTCATTCATCGGAACGTTGATTAGTAAGAAAAGACTCAGATGGCTTGGACATATCAAGTGAATGCTGGATTACAGGATCCCAAAGCATGTGCTATACTCTGAAGCTCGAGAAGTATTTAAAATAGAGGCAGACCACTGTGCAGATTTCAGGATGCTTGCAAAGATGATTTAGTATCCTTTGGAATCCTTTGGATGATTGGGAAAGGAGTGAAGAATATCACTCTGGCTAGCGGCGTCAGCTTGTATGTAGATAGTTGGAGCAAAGCGTTGCGAAGCAGACTGGATTGGGGTTTGTGATGACCAGCGTCAGAGGAGGAAAGAATCTGCTGCTCGGATTGAGAGCATCGTTAGTGTGTGGGTGTGGCCTATCTGTGGACGGGACTGTCACTCATGCATCGGACTCAGCAGCCATCAAAGAACTCATTGGCGCATACACTATGTTCTGTAAAGAGCGATGGTGCCATTGA